GGTTCGCCCCCCGGGGCCGCCCGGGCCCCCCCCGGTACCTCTCGGCCTCGGGCCCTGCGCGCCTTCGGCCCCTTGTCTCGCCATGGGCCCCGCACATGCGCACGGCGCCGCCGCGCCGCCATCTTGGGCGCGGGCGGAAGTTCCCCCCTCACGCGGCCCCGGCCCGGCTTCGCGCCGCCATCTTGGGCCGGGGCGCCGCGCCGCGCCGTTCCGCGCCGCCATCTTGGCGCCGGGCAGGGCCGCCCTCACGGCCCGGCGCCATCTTAGCGCGCGGCGCAGCGCGCGGCGCCATCTTAGACGGCGAAGGCGCGCGGCGCTTCCGCCGCCCCGCCGCCATCTTGGGTGAGGGCGGCGCCATGTTGGAAGAGGGCGGCGCTCGGTGAGGGTCGCGATGGGGGCGTGGGGACAGGGCCGGGCGCTGCCCAGGGTGAGGGACCCCCGCCCGGCTCATCGGTACCGCAGGGGCTCGGGGGATGCGCCCGGAGGGCCCCGGCCGCCCCCGTGGTGAGGCCGCTGTGGGCGCCGCCATGTTGAGGCAAAGATGGCGGCGGTGTAAACAAAGGCCGGGCTTTGTGGGCGGCCTTGTGTCGCCTCAGCGTCCCCTCGGTGTCCTCCTGTCCCCGTGGGGCTGTGTCCTCGTGTTCCTGTGTGTCTGCGTGCCCAGGTGCCCACAGCCACGTGTTCTCCTGTCCCCGTGTCCCCATGGCCGCAGTGTCCCCAAATGACCTCGTGTCCCCGTATCCCAGTGTCCCCAAATGTCCCCAAATGTCCCCAAATGTCCCCAAATGACCTCATGTCCCAATGTCTCCAAATGTCCCCGTCCCCATATCCCAATGTCCCAAAATCTCCCTGTGTCAATGTTTCAATGTCCCCATATCTCTGTGTCCCCATGTCCCCTGCCCCCAAAGTTTCTAAATTTAAAAAGAAATGTTATTTTAAAAATTTAAAATAATAATAATAATAATAATAATAATAATAATAATAGAAATAAAACAATAAAAATAATTTAAAATAAATATTTAAAAATTAAAAATTAAAATCACATAGAAAAATAAAATTAACTTTTAAAACATAAAATTAAATTTAAATTATAAAATAAAATAAAATAAAATAAAATAAAATAAAATCTATATCCAGGGATTTGGGGGGCTCCTCCTGGATCAGCCCGGGGGGTTTGGGGCTCTCCGGGGATTTGGGGGGCTCTGAGATCCTGGGGGGCTCGTCCTGGATCAGCTCCAGGGGTCTGGGGAGCTCATCCCAAATCGGCTCCAGGGATTTTGGGGGCTGCAGGGATTTGGGGTGCTCATCCCGGATCAGCTCCAGGATTTTGGGGGGCTCATCCTGGATCAACTTTGGGGACCCATCCTGGATCAGCTCCGAGGGCCTGGGGGTCTCCAGGTTTTTGGGGGGCTCATCCTGGGTCAGCTCCAGGTTTTTGGGGGGACCTCCAGGGGCCGGGGCAGGGGGAGAGGTCGGGGGGGTCCCAGGGGTGCCATCGGCCCCTTCTGGGACCACCCCGGGAGCAGAGCCCGGGGCTGGGGGCTCGGGGGGCTCCCGGGGGGGCTCTGCCAGGGGCGGGGCTGGAGGAGACCCCGCTAAATCCCGGGGATCCCCCTCCCCCGGGGTGAGGGGTGGGGGCCCAGCTCCATCCCCTCCCCCATTCCCAGCGGG